GGCTTGGACACTGGCAGTGTCCATGCCCTGCACCCCACACTGGACCTGTTGGCCACTGCACCCAGTCTCCTGTCTGTGAGTGAGGGTTAAGGATGCTGGCACCATCCCATGACCCTGCCAGTGAGCTGGAGCTGGGGCTGCAACCTGGAGGAGCCCAGGGAGGCTGGCCCGTAGGCCGGGCTCCATGCCAGCTCTGCCCACATGAGCAAGCCAGTGCCCACCAGAGCACAGGCTGCCAGCAGGGCCTGGCCCTTACTTCCCAAATCTCCTCCCCCAGCGCAGACTGGGAAGGATCCCCATCACGCTGCCACCTATTTTCCCAGCAAGACACACAGCATTGTTGGGCACCACTCTTGGACCCAGCTTACACCTGATGGATCAGAATAGGGGGCGTTCTCGAGCCCCCATCCTGGGCTGAGACTTGGCTTGGGTGACATACCTGAGGGTGTGAGGGATGTTGAGCCCCTGAAAGGAACAAGGCAGAGTCATGAGAGGCACACATTCAAAGGGACCTGAGTGGATGTCACCTTAGAATCACAAGGCTCCTGAGCCCAGCAGCAGCTCTCCTGAGCATGAAGCACACTCAGACTGCAGTGGGGCCAAAGCCCCTGAACATGCCACCTGCTCACCAGAGCCCTGACACTCTTCTACCCACCCTGTGACAAACTACTTGTGCTTCTGCACAGCTGCGTCCTTATGGAACTGTCCCCAAGGGGCCAAGGGGCAAGGACCAATGACAGATCACAGTGTCAGGACCCTGCTCCTCCACTTCTGGCCAGCTCTGCCCTGCTACCCACAGCCACAGCCCAACTGGCCACACCCACCACAAAGCCCAACCTGGAGGAGCCCAGCAATGTCCCAGGCATGGTGCTGGAGGTGGAGGCAAGTCCAGGGCCTGGCCTGACCACTTTGTCTCTGGAACAGAATCCTGGGGCCACTTCTAGGAGATTAAGTACTGGGGCAAGGGAGGAGGGTTAATGAGAACTGTGTTCTTGTGACAAGAGAGACCCTGGTGTGTCCCCTCTCTGGCCATGAATAACAGTGAGCTCAGGGCCACCGAGGACCAGCAGATGCAGGACGAGCCCCAAGATGGAGCAGTGCCCCCTCCTCCAGAGAGGCTTCCGGACTCTATCCCTGAGAGTCAGGACATACTGTCCAGGCATGAGCACCAAAGACAGCTGGGCTGCGTCCTAGCTCAGCCCTGGAGAAGAGTGACCCAGGAAGGTGTGAGGCAGAGGCAGAGACTTGTATGTGGCTTCCCACCTTGAACTCAGGGCGCTGCTCCCCGCCGGGCCCTTCCTGGCCCCTGGAAGCAGTTTTCCATGGTGTCACAGGAAGGAACAGCAGTCTGCTTCCGTCCTGCCATGGCACTGGAGTGGATGGGACCCACAGATGAGGGTCCCTGGGTCACTTTCAACTCTATGGATGTGCTGGGTCTACACTAGTCTTTTGTGCCCCATCGAGAGAATTTAAACAGTGCACCAGACTGCAGTAAAAATAAACTGACTGTCAAAGAGCCACCTGGCATGGGGCAACCACACCAAGGAGTTCCCAAGTGACCTGGGCAACAAGGGTTTCATCTCTGAACAGAATGAAATTTCTCATTTTTCTCTTTAAGCTCCTGTCCCTTTAGCTATGCATGGTGGCTGTTATCTCAGCACTCAGGAGGCTGAGGCAGGAGGATCACAAGTTTTGAGGCCAGCTTGTGCTACATAGTGAGTTCAAGGCCAGCCTGAACTGTATAGCAATCTCCTGTCTCAAAAAAACAAATGAATAAATGTCTGTCTAGTTTGCTAATTCCTAAACCTATTTAGTAATGATTCAAAGACTTACTTGCACTACTGATTTTTTAAGGAAAAATAAGTATTGAGAAACTTAATTGAAAAAAATAAAATGTGTGTGTGGGTGGGAGTGAACCAAGCCCCAGACTCTCCTCCAAGACAGAGGCTGCCTGGGAGCTAGGTGGACAGGGTGAGGAGGCACGGGCTGCCACTTGAGCAGTCCCGCTGTTGCAGGGGCAGCTGTCATCACCAGGATGACCCCCACGGCCCTGAGTGTGGACAGCAGGTGGGGCTGCAGCTACCAGGAAGCCCACAGGAAGGGCAAGGTCTGGCCCGGACTTGGGGTGCCTTGCAGAGTCCTGAGCCTCCCTGGGCTGCAGGCTGTTCCACCTCTGGCCCCCAGCCACATGGACCCAGCAGTGAGCTATCTACCCTGTGTGTCTTCAAGTGATGCCGGCCAGATCCTCACAGCCACTGTCCCTCAGCTGCCATCTCCGGCCCTGGCCAGTTCCTGAAAAAGAGGTCTTCTGCTTTGGGCAGCCAGTCCTATGCGTCACTGCCCATCCACCTAATGGATAATGAGAAGCAGCCTCTGAGATGAAAGTGACATTCCCAGCGGGCCTGCATGGGCACCTCAGAGCCGTCCCTCAGTCTGACCACTGGGGCAACCTGGTCTCCTCCACGGACAGCACCAGCACTGTGCCCAGCCACCCCCATGAGATAGCCAGCTCCAACTGCCTAGAGCCTGGGGACACAGCTAGCACCAGCTATGCTCAAGGCCCACCCATCCTCACCAGGTGAGACCACACCTCTGCCTGCCCAGGCACTGGCACTGTCTCGCCTGCATATGGGTCCCCCCGAGTCCCTGTCCTGGCCCTGCTCTGAGAGTAGTGTGGGGTTTGTCCTCCCTGCAACGCTCTGCACTGCCATTCTGTGATTTTCTGGAGCACTTTCCCGGGTCCAGAAGCTGGCCCTTTGCTAACTAGGGCTCAGACGCCCTCTCCAGGCCAGCTTGTCTTCCTGCTTGGCTTATGGTGTCCTCTACACTCTTCCTTTCAAGTCACCTGTGCCTCCCGCTCTTTAGAACGGCACAAGGGTCTGGCTTTGCTCTCCTCCATGCCAGTGGAGGTCCGATGTCCCCGAGGGTCTCAGAGTCCAAGCTTTGCCCTGTTGGCTGGCCGGCAGCTCTCCCAGGGACAGCTCCACAGCCAACTGGGTTTCTGGCTTCTCTCCTCCTCTACAGCTGAGCACCGTTCCGCTGAACTGTGCATGTGGCCGAGCCCTGGGCATTCTGGGCAAAGCAGCTCTGCTCCACACTGCACACTACAGCACCCCTTGACTCAGGCTGCTGAAGTTGCCTTTCATTCGGGATCTGAACTCTGGGTTCGCAGGGAAGATGGCCAGCAGGACCTCAGGATATGCGTGCTGCCTCCCAACACAGCCTGATGAGCCTTTTTACTCTGTTTTCTGTAAGGTTTATTTAAATTTTATGTGGCTTTGCCCATACTAAGCAAGCGTGAGCTACACCTTCAGGCCTTTTTCGAAACAGTCTGAGTTTCCAAGTCCAGCCTCCAGCCTGAGATCTCCCTGCCTCAGCCTCCCAAGTGGCTGGGATTACAGCAGTGCACCAGTCCTGACTTGTGCTTTACTTATGCTGCTCTCTTCTAAGCTGAGACCTGTCTGAACTGCAGCTTGGTCCACTGAATCTAGCAGCTGGTGCGGAACAAGGGCATGGCCTGCCTCTTGGCTTCCCACCCCACAATGTCTCACACTGTGGGTGGTGCCACTGTGTATCTTCCATGGGGACCAAGGTGCAACAGGGCTCTGGGGACCACACTACGCTTCCAAGATGCAGGGCAGAGCCAGGAGCACCACAGCTCGCTGGGCAGATCTCAGCTACAGAACCTACGTCCACAGCGAGGTAGGAGCAGCTGATGGGAACACCGACCAGTCACTGGGCTCTGCCGATGTCCCAGGCTTCTGCCCCAGCTGTCACCCCAGGCTGTGCCAGGCTGCTTTCCCCACGCTGCGTGATGGAGGCTGCAGGAGCCCCGGCTCTGTGTCCTCAGGTCCGAGGCATATGGACTGATAGCACCACTGTGGTGTTCACGTCCATCCAGGCTCCTGACTCAGCAGAGGTCAGAGCTGTGGGCCAGCACATCCTCGGAGCCTGGGCTGACTGACCCCTCCATCACGGTCCCATTCTGCATAAGACAGCTCCACACACAGCACAGCTGCTGAGGGCAGAAGCGGGTTGCAGCCTGGCTTCCACGCGGCCAGTGCCAGAGACTTTCCCCAGCTCTGTGGTAAGGAATGGGGGCTCTGGGCTTCTGCACCCAGCGGGACTCCACTGTGGTCCTCATCTACACCACAGTCCACCCCAGGCTGCGGTCCACATCCACACCACAGTCCACCCCAGGCTGCGGTCCACATCCACACCACAGTCCACCCCAGGCTGCG